TTTTATCACGCAAGAAAAGATTTATTTTATTATTTTTTTTTAAATTTATTTATTATTATTTTTTTTTTTTTTTTTTTTTTTTTTTTTTTTTGGAACAGTAAAGGGGAAGTGAGAAAATTGGACGCGTATTTATAGGTGAATGAAAACAGGTGTTCCCCCAAAACGCCCTGCTAACTAGGCATCTAATGTAAAAACAATGCATGTGAAAACTCTCTGCAAACGTAATACTAGATTCCCTTGCCCACTATAAAGCATAAATGGAAGTCGTGTGGTGTAGTGTGAATTTGTGTGATGGATTTGTGTGATGGTTTGGTATCCAAAGATTTTCTCACGTATTTAATATGTATCATACTTGATTTGGATAAGTTGGCGTTCATTTAAACGGACCCGACTCTCGCTTGTATTTTAACCAAATATTTATGATAAGATTTTCGTGCATTAAAAATAAAAACAAAAGAAATTACGGAGATGAAAAAACGTTTAAGAAATCAAGTTAATCAAACAATCAATCTATCACTATTGTTTTATTGTTTTATTGTCTCGAAATAATAATTTAAAATTAAATTAACAAATGGCATCACTTCACGTGATTCCACCTGATTCGGAAATGAGACCAATGAGAGATTATTCTCACGGTCTGACGGTTCGTATATAAAAAGATTAGATATCTGAATATCACCAAATATAGATCAAAATGGAACAACAACTGCCAGAGGTTACGGTAATACTCTTGGATGGATCCAAGAATATGTTATCATCATCAAATCAATTAGAAACAAAATTTGATAGTTCAAGATATTTAATCTTACATTATTTACAAAAGTGCAAATGGAATACATTATCTGTGATATCATTCGCTTCTGAATGTCAAATCTTACACAGTTTTACCAAAAATCATGATTCGTTAATCATGACGATAAACGAGTAAATTTTCCCCTAAAATTTGACCTACAAATGTTAAATTCAAGTTAATTTGAATCATCGTCCTTTTCAAATATATCAGATGGAAATTTACACCCGAAGATTCCAACCGAGAAATGAAGGCAGCGTGCGAATTCGTTGAACAATATGTTACAGATACATTCGGTCCGGATCAAGTGTGTCAGATAATAATTTTAACGGATGGGAGTTCTCCACAAGGTGAATAAAAAAAAAAATTAAAATCCCTCAACTTTCTTCTTCAACTTAAAAACTAAAATAAATGATAATTTAGGACGAGTTCTTTCAGAGGAGGACGGGTCTCGACCGATACAATTTCGTAATCCATTATGGAAATTACAT